GATGGGTCAGAGACCCATTTGGTAGCCGGGTAAACCGGAGGTGACCTTTCAGCATGAAATCAAGCGAGACTCAAACCCACAAGCGTCAGGATTGCGGTCAAGCCCCGTAACCGCTCAGCTACCAACTGGGCAAAACTTTCTAGAGGAATCGTTTATTGGATTAAAACAATTTGTGGACCCGGAACTATCCACAAATGCTCCATGAATCGTTTTGGCCAGTCACAAAACATCAGGGGGAGGAAGAGGTGGTGCTGCTCCCAGAGCCACTATTGCCTTATAACCTTTAGGCCAGAGGTTAGGGCCCTCATCTCCCCAATAGAAGACTCCCTCTCCTAGAACAAACCCAAGCTTCTTCCGAGTCACTGAAAATGATGAACCATTTCAGACTTGGTTCCTGATTGATTTATTGACTTATTTTTTGGGCCTGCCACCAAACAGACAGATCAGTTATTTGCTCAGCTCTGCTGCGAATACGCAGCGGCCAAGGGGTGACATAGGAATCTCATCCTGATTCACAGCCATTCACACTGTGGATAAGCCCCTGCTTATCTGATGACCGACACTGGGGATTGAACCAAGGACCTAAAGATTGTGAACTCCAGTAGGTTGAGCTAAAGAAAAAGTACCTACAGCTACTAGCTAGAACAGACCACATCCTCTGTAGATTTGGGGATTATTGACATATAAGCCACCCTAAATCAGGGACTAGTGACATTTAAGTCACCCTATTTGTGCCCCTGGAGATGCCTAAATTCATTTCAGATATATGAGCCATGGAAGATGCAGTCCCCTGCTTCTGGGACCAAACTATTGCAAGTGATGAATGGACCATTGTGCCTGCAGGTGGGAGGCTGCGAAATGGTATTTACAGACACTGCTTGCGTGTGTGTGTTTGTACAGAGTTTAAAAGATGCAAATAACTGGTCTGTTGGAAACGTTGGGTAAAATTTCACTCCTGTCTAGAAATAAGGATGCAGGAAGGAGCAAAAGTCAACATGACCTGAAAAACCCCAGACGGGGATGGGCAGGTAAGCTGAGTGACATGATTTATTCTGTTAATGAGGCAGGAGGGAGGGTAGGAAGAAAAGCTGAATGCATATTTCATGGCCACGGAGAGATGCGAGCCTGCATGCCGGTATCTGGATGTAGCTTCTTTAGGTTACAAGCGAGTCTTTGCAAGTGTGCAAAAAAGGCACAAGCGGCCTTTGACACGTCAGTTTGCTATTGGTTGTTAGGAGCCGGCAAGCCAATGAAAATAAAATAGACTCTTATTTGTTGTGTTAGTAACACCCTGGAAGAGGCTCTCTCAGACCCAGACTTTGGGGAGGCCAAATCTCTCCATGACTAACAGTCATTCTGGCCCTACCAAAATGGGGCAGGGCGGGGCACGGAGCGGGGAATGGAGGGATAGCTCAGTGGTTTGAGCATTGGCCTGCTAAACCCAGGCTTGTGAGTTCAATCCTTGAGGGGGCCATTTAGGGATCTGGGGCAAAAGTTGGGGATTGGTCCTGCTTTGAGCAGGGGTTTAGACTAGATGACCTCCTGAGGTCCCTTCAAACCCTGATATTCTAGGATACCCCATAATGCTACAAAGTGAGAGGCAGTCCCTGCCCCAAAGAGCTTACAGCCTAAATAGGCAAGACAGGAAAAAGGGTGGGAGGAGAAACACAGGGAAGGCCCTGATCCTCAGTGGTATTTAGGTGAAATCCATGGGATTTCAGCTCCTAAGTACCCTTGAGGATCTGGGCTGAAGTGACTTGCCCAAGGTCCTGGAGCAGAGGCAGGAATTGAACTCAGGTCTTCTAAATCCTAGTCCAGTGCTGCAGCCATGGAACAAGGCTGCCTTAGAATTGGAGAAAGCAGAACATGAAAATGCGCAGAGTTCACTCACACGACCTTAGCACTGCCCCCTAGTGGCACTAAGGGGCAGAGGCAGGAGGGAAAAAAATATCAAGTATCCTCTAATCCAGAGCCACAAACACAAAAGTACCTTAAGTGTGTGATTAGTGCCTGGGGTTATTATGGGGCAGAGTTAAACCTGGTTGGGTGCTCTCACTCTGCATTTCCACACCTGGATTCCTTTTAGGTTTAACTTTAAACCAGAGTCTCCTTGTTTTGAGGAAGAATCATAACAGCCCTGTAATGTATTTGACCCTAAATTACCAATATTGCTCTCGACTTCACCTTAATGTGTCTTTTGTTGGGGAATTTGTTAGGCCCCAGAACATACATGACCCCTTTGCTTGTTTGGTGTCGATAGTTACCAACGTGCTTACCTTTTTAAAGGATCCAGCTCAAAAACCCACGACGAGGCAGGAAGCAGCACAAGGCCCAATTTATCCCAGCACCTCATGTGTTCATTTAAATGAGGAGCAATGTAAAGGCCAGGGGGAGGTCTCCTCTGCAAGTCAGAAGCCAGTACATCAGTTTGACATTCTCCTGGGGGCGGGAATCTGCTCTTATTTTGCATACATATGTGTAGTATGCAGGGGTAGGCTGGGAGTGGGCCCATGTTTGTTTGTTCGCTCATGCTTCAGGGTTTCAGCTGGCTGCCTGCAGGGGTCAGGAAGGGATTGCCACATCCCCACCTCAGTGCATTCTGGGTGATTGCTTTAACTCCTTCCTCTGAAACCAGAATGGCCACAGCTGGAGCTGGGACATTGGATGAGGGGATGCAGGCAGGACTTGGAAGTGGCACTGAGCATTCCCTCTCTTAGCTGCGTGGCTGGCTGGTTTTTGCTCACACACCCAGGGTCTAACTGATCACCAGATCTGAGGTCAAGAAGGAGTTTTCCCTGGGTCAGATTGGCACTGCCCTTGCTGGGGTTTCACCTTCCTCTGCAGCGTGTAGGTGTGGGTCACATACCAGGATTACCTGGGTGTGTCTCACTTAATTCCTTCCCTGCCCTTGCAGGGGCTTGGGCACTGGTGCACCTCAATCCCTCTAGTCTCTGCCCAGAACAGTCTAGTCTCCCAGGTGCTGTAATACTTTAGTCTAATTTCAGTGGCTGGATTAAGTGTGCGGGTGCTGGTCGTGTTGGGGGCCTGTCCTGTAGCTCTGTGACTCCATTTCCAGATTCTCAAAGACTTGTTTTGAAGTTACCTTATCTTTACCTTTTTTTAAAAAGTTACTTAAGTACCTGAAGTGACTGATGCATAGTTAACAGCTGATGTTTTTCTGGAATGGTCCAGCCGTTTAAAGGTTGTAATGAGCATTGCTATGTGACACTTCCGTGCCCACCCGCCATGGGGAATTAACAATGTACGCCAGGGTGGGATTCCTGGCGGGGCTTACAAGAGCTATCATATAAGAAATGAGACAGCATGGAGTTCAGTGGTTAGGGCACTGGCCGGGACCTCAGGAAACCCAGGTTGTTCGTTTATATGGCGGTAGCACCTAAAAGCCCTAGTCACAGGCCAGGATCCCGTTGTGCTAGGCGCTGTACAAACACAAAATAAAAAGATGGTCCCTGCCCCAAGAGCTTCCAATCTGTAGACAGGAGACAACAGAGGGATACAGACAAGCCGACAGGGGAACGCAAGGAAACGACAGAGGTCACAGTGGTAGGCAGGGACCCTTCAACCATCTTTTCTCTGTGTAGTTTGTAAATCCTTTGCAGTAGGGACTACGATATGTTGGTACCGTCTTGTACAACAGGGACCCTGATCCTGGTGGGGGTCTTGAGGTACTGTAAACCACTCTATGATGCCTGTGAGGGAAGGGAACACTTAAAAGCATTGTAATACATGCACTAGATTAAACCTGCTGCCACTGCAGCAGTTTGGATGGTTAGGTTTGATCACCCAGCAGACTTTGACAACTGCTTACCTGCACAGTGCACAAGCAACCCTATGCAAGTCAGTGGAACGACACCCAGGTGTAGTGTTGTCAGGTGTGTATGTCTTTGCAGAAGCAGGGCCAGAACCAGCAGTAGTGGGAGCCCATCTGTACTGTTTGTGTCAACTGAAAGCACAGTTGCTTTGGTGTCAGACCCACATGTCTAGGAAGTAAAGGGCATGTACGTATAGAGGGTCTCAAGGGATTAAAATCCAGCTAGAATTCCAAAGAATAAACCACCCTTCTCTCTCTCTCCTGGATTTACTGACACTGAAGGAGTTAATGACATTACTTGGCATCAGCTGTTTAGGTCTCCACCTTGCACCCCTGGCAGGACACCTGATTGTTACATTATACTGTGAGAGCAGGTTAAAGAGGCCTTAAAAGGGCTTTAAAGGTGAGTAGAAATGGCCTTTAAGACTATACCCTGTGTATGGACCTCCCCTAGCGAGTGCAGAACTGGTGTAAGATGAGCCTTGCTCCCAACCCCTGGAAGGGGGGACAGCCAGAGTGCACGGCAGCTTTTTCCCTGCTTCCAAGGGACCATGGGAAGCCAAACTTAAATTAGAGCAACCTTGAGGCTGCTCTAAGTTACACCGGGAAGGAGGGTGGGTACACACGAGGCAGGAACCTTCATAGTCTCTGGATTGGGTGGCTTAAATGCAGAAATGAGGTCACTGAGAATCAGGTCCACAGCATCTTAAAGTACAACCCACACAGGCGGTACCACAGGCAAAACAGCAGAGTTTACATGATACCATAATAATGGGGATGTGCCACAGATGGGAGCAGGTCCACAGACAGCTCGTACAAACCAGAGACAATCATTTCAAATGTCTGAAAAGGAAAGAACCTTCAAGCCAGAAGCTGGGAATCCTCCAAAAGCATCTTTCATCATGAAAAGAAAAGGAGGACTTGCGGCACCTTAGAGACTAACCAATTTATTTGAGCATGAGCTTTAGTGAAGTGAGCTGTAGCTCACGAAAGCTCATGCTCAAATAAATTGGTTAGTCTCTAAGGTGCCACAAGTCCTCCTTTTCTTTTTGCGAATACAGACTAACACGGCTGTTACTCTGAAACCTTTCATCATGAAATGCGTCTTTCCTCTTAGGGCCCCCGGTAAAGAAACGACTGTGGGGAAAAACTAAAACTACTCAGTGTGGACAGCTTATTGAAAGTGATATTTATTTCAAAATACAAAAAAAATGTATTAAGTAAATTTGCCATCCATCTATATGAACAGTTTGTTAGAGAAACAATGTTGGAGTCCCTCGGTTATTAGGATAGACACTTTTACAGACAGTTTAACAATGTAACATTACAAAAAATACAGTTTCAGGTTTCAGATCTTTACTTGCAGTAAAAGATAAAAAAGGTACTAAATGAGCTTGGTATAAAACACACACAGACAAAGGAATTTACAAACCAGTCTATGAAGAACACAACCTAGTTGTGGGGACATTTTGTACAAAACTACTGCTTATACGGGTACAGAAAAAATGTAAAAAATATTCCCTATTTGGAGACAAAATACAAAAGCACATTATTGAATTCTTTACTTGATAATTAAAAAGATACATAAATTGGAGAAACTAGGCTTGGTTGTTTGGGAAATTGTAGTCAAACATCCCCTCCACACACACACACACCCTGACCCCCACCACCCCCCAAAAAACAAAAACACCAGGCTTCATAATAAATTAGACAGCTGAATGCATCAGCAAAAACAAAGGCTGGGATTTTCAAATGATAAGGGAGTCAAACACCCAGGGAAAAGTTTTCAGAAATACCTAAAATGACTTAAATGCCTACATCCCATTGACTTTCAACAGGCTTAAGTGCTTCTAAAAATTTTACTTCTAATTCCTCACTGAACATCAATGGGATTTTGGTGCCTAATTCCCTTAGGTTCCTTTGAAAATCTCAGCCTGAATGTACCTAAAAATGATGCCTCTGGAAGCACGTTTTAACCTCAATCCAGAGCCTGGATCCAACACCACGGCCTCGCACCTTGTGTCATCATTTATACCTAGGCAAAATGTTACCAAGCAGTGGGGGGAAGAGTTCAGATACGGGGTGTTTCACACCCACACTGCTCAGCTGTAAATGCATGCCCTGAATGAAGGTGACTGGCGAGAATCAAATCCATTGTCTCTTGGTAGGACTTTAAAAATCAAGGAAGCAAGAGGACAGCTGCTGAACAAGATACATATTAAATTGTTTGTTCTTCGTTGCTCTGGGAAACACTTGTCAAATATAAATATAAGAAACAATTAATCATACTCCGTACGCTTGTCCTAATCTACAAGAAGTTGTATGTGTACCTGAATTCCATAAACAACACTTTATGTTAAAAATTGGGAGACTTATTTTCCTTGGTCAGAAAAATGATGCTGTAGAAGTGGCACCTGACCCAAGCAAATCCAGCCCCATGGATCATCTCACTCCTGGCTGCTTAAAAATTTGCTCGCAAAAGAAACTATCCCATGCTTGTAGTTTTCCTGTCAGCTCTACAAGAAGCAAGCGCCATGTCCTATTCTGTCTCAGGCACCATGGGCACGACTGATAGGTAGGCATTGATTTCAGGGGACCGTCGGCTGAGCTTGCCATTAGGGGGAAAAAATGCTGGCTTTGAAAGAGAGCAGAAGGGTCACTAGCAGAATAGATACAAAGGACCAATGAGTCCTTGTTAGAATCACCATTTCTGACCATCAACTCAAAGGGCTTGCGTTTTCCTGTCCAGTTTCTACCAGCTGCAAGCATACCCATTTGCTGGCAATCAACAGAGCAGCTGCTTCCTATGTGCCGGTACCTAACAGCCCACAAAGCTTCCATCCCCAAGTATGCCCATTACATAAAATCCCACCCCACCCACCACGAAGTTTAAGAGTTAGGTTCTTCTGCTCACAGTGGGAATGCTGAAACCCATGTAATTGCTTTCCCCTTCCCTGAAATCTAGAAACCTGAAAGTGTAGAGCAATCAGCTCTGTGGAACTGACAGCGAGAGATTCTAGAAGCAGAAAATAAATTCCTTGAATGTCCAAAGTTGTCCACTGGATTGTAAAAATAGGTTTCAAAACACAAAAAAAAACCCAAGGCGAGTGTGCTTCTGACAGTTCCCATCATGCACTGGTCCATGAGCAGAGTTCATAAAAACTCATACTGAGTCATTTAAGATTTCTTTGATTGGAAACCAGTGCAAGTCCCATGTCTGTTGGAGTGGAGATTGCTGATTGCTGAGAGGGGCGAGTCTGGACGCTTTTGACAGAATCTCTCAAGGATCCAGCTTTTGGCACAGTGTCATCATAACAGCTTGCGATGGAGGATCTCCCAGGCCATCCGCTTGCGGAAGTAGGGCATGTGTTGCTTGGGGGAAGGGAGAGAGAAAAAGACACCCACATTAATGCCCCTTTTCCTAATAGATGGTTTCTACACCCGATCGCCACAGAATGCGCATTAATTACACATGTGCCTGTTCCCCATGAAATGTAACCAAGTGCCTGAATTGAAATTCAGTGGGATTTGAGCACCTAACTCCCTTAAGCTACTGTGAAAATCTCAACCTTAATTCTTTTCACTGCGTGTGAGCGGAGATGAAACCATGATCATTATGTTCTTTTCAAGCCAATCTACTATTAACCACTTAAAAGGTACAAAAGAGTGTTTACACTGGGGAGGGTGGGGATGCTTTTGGTGGCACAAATTTGTATGGCCAGTAGAAATCCTCTGTGCAAATGAAGTAAGGCCTACTCTGAGGACTTAAGTGATGCACACACCTTGCCCTTTGCACAAGAATGAACTTTTCCCCCATGTAAAGAGAATAGCACAGCTAGTAAGGGGGACCCTCTAAAATAGATATTGATGAAGGGGAAAACAAAATCTGAAGATATACAAATGTGTCATCCAGTCCTACGGATCCTGGGGTGTTAAGGGACCTAATGAATGATTGTGCTAAGTGTGGAAAACTATTAGAAGACATTGACAACTGAGAAAGGAGCGGAAGATCTGGAAAATAAAGACATTTAGTGTCAATTGGCAACATCATTATTGACCCTCCTATCATCATTCCGTGTGAGCCAACCCGCTGCCAATGGGATCCTGCGTTAGTCCCACAGCGCACCCCAACATGTCAGTGCCCAGCTTACCTGAGTGAAATTGATCGGTCTGTCTTTGGTAATGCAGTCAGCATATTTGCAGGCAAACATTCCACAGTCGCTGCCATTCATTTGTTGAGGGATTTCCTTTAACAGTAAAAACAAGCCCTGAGCCTCTAGATTTAGAGGAGACCAAAGCCTCCCCTCAACTTTAGCAAACGCTCCACAGATAAAGGGCCATGAGCAATGAAGCGGGTAAGAAAACCCCAGGGTGTCTCCATGTTCTTGAGATTTAGGGCATTGGGGCAAAATGAAGCTTTGAAACAGATGGGCCAATAGTTGCCTGGTCAAATGGAAATGAAAAAAAAAGTGAGGAGCAACCCACTCTGGGAAGCAACTGAAATGAGGAGACTGATGGTGCATCATGGACTCCAGGTAGTCATGCCTATCTAGGCACCCTAGAATCTGAGGACCTCAGTCATTGGTGAACTTGTCTTTACAACACCCCTGTAGAGAAGCGGGGAGGATTAGCCTCAATTTACAGATGGGAAATGGAGGCAGAGAGAGCAGTGACTTGCTTTAGGCCACATAAAAAGGCTGAAGCAGAGCCAGGAACAGAACCTGGGTCCTTCTAACTCCCATTCCACTGCCTTAACCACACAGCCATCCTTCTTCCCTGGTGAGATGGAAGTGCTATGCTCAGGTGTGCTCTGTGATGTGAGAGTGGATCCCCTTGGGGCTGCTGCTGACTCATCTTGGAGAAGAGCAGCTTTCCCATGCACAACCATCAAGTGACAGTGAGAGATTAACAACGGGGAATGATTAGGCCACGATACCATCTGTGCAGCTCTCTCAGGTCCCTACTATGGGCTCCAACTGCGCGAGACCAACGCACCTGACTCTTCTTGCTGAGCAACAACCAGCCGTTAGCATCAAATTCTTTCCGTCTTTTGTCAAGACTTTCCTGTTTTAAGTATTGCCTGCAGGAAACAGGGGACAGAGAATGTGCTTAGAGAGGAAACAAACAAACAAAAATCAATTTTTAATTCATAGTTTATCTAAAACTTCCATCTCCAATTAATTCTGAGAACTGGGCTTCGGAAATTTAATATTTTCCTCTCTCACCCTTGGCAGTTCTTGCTTTTTAACACAGAATTTTAAAGTTCTAGGCAATCTGAAGTAGGACTGAGCAGAGCTCTGAAACTCATCCCAAAAATATCCACTGAGCCAAGGGTCAAAGCCACAAACACATCAGCAGAAATCTCCTGATTAATTAAGGGGCGACTCATGATATGGAAGAGCCAAAATAGCAACTGGTTTGGCTGGAAAGGCTCCTTCAAAATGAGCTTTAGGTTTGGAGACTGAACTCACTTCTCCTGTATCTAGAGCTTCCTGTAGTTTGTTGCCTCTCACATTCTGCTGTCCTCATTCATCATCTCCTCCCACTTTAATGTGGTGTCCTCAGTGAATGTAGACAAGAGCAATTTGTTGCAGGTATGTAGATGTTAAATAGTAACCTGGATGCTAAACTTTGAAGGACGCTATGTAACTTGCTAACATCAGTTCTAAAACTCCGCAATCTTTTTTCCAAGACCTCTTCACCCAGGGTTCCATTCGGTTATTGATATAACGTTTCATCTTTTTCTTACCAATATGGATGGACCGACAGTGTGTGTGTGCAATAGGAAAGCTTAGAACTAGTGGCCAGGAGTTATTTGAATGCAATGTAGTAATACGGGGGGGGTGTGTGCAATGCAAAGACTCAAGGATATTAGATTTCAAGGAAGCATCTTTGGGGAATTAAATCTAGTGAGCAAATCACACTCAGTCCAGCAGTGGGAAAATGGGACATCTGAAAACACCAAAATTAAGGTGCATCAGACCACAAAAGCCATCAAGAGAATGCGAAAAAACAAGAAGTAGCCAAAGTAACTCCAAAGATGTGCAGAGAAAAAATGAGTTTGCACAAGAAAAAAAAAAAGGAGAGACTCCAACAAGAATACACCCGCTATACTAGCTAAAGCGGCGGTGGAATCAGGGCAGCAGAATGAACTACTGCTAACCAAAGGGGAACAGACAGGGTTTTTACAAATCCATTGGGAGGAAAGGAATACTGGCAATGAAAATGATGCATTAATAAGTCAGGACAACTCCTATACAGAAGTCTAGAGAGGCCAAGCTATAAAATTGCTCTATAAAACCTGTCTACAACATGAGAAATAATATTTTCAGAGTTTAAGGACCAAAGGGACCCTCAGATCTACTATCCTGACCTTCTGTATATCACAGGCTATTAATTTTCACCCAAATACTCCTACATTAAGCCCAAAATCTTGAGTTAGACCAAAGCGTTTCAGTCCTCAGGACACTAAGCTGTGTACCACATACAGAGACTAGGAGAGACTGAGGTGCCATCAATGCCCAAGGCCCCTGCAATGGCAAGGACTGATTAGGTGAGTTATGCCCAAAGGATCACAGGTAAACCATGCCCCATGCTTTGAAGTATGCAACACCCCCTCCCCCAGGTCCCTGCCAATCTGACCTCAGGGAAATTCCTTGAAGACTTCTATCTTGAAGACACAAAATGTAAGGGAAAATAGGAAAACAATCCATTCAAGAGAGCAAGCCCAGACTAAATGAGGCCTAGAGTTGCCAAGGAATAGGCTTGTGAATTTATTCACAAGTTGGCCCTCACTTCTGAGCCATCACTGAGATCGGGGCAGGTGCCGGAGGACGGGAAAAGGGCAAGTGTGGTACCAGTGAAATAATGGAAAAATCTGTTGCCTAGTTATTTCTTTTCTGGAAAGGACTTCTGCCCCTGTCAGACATTTGGGCTGTGTCTCTTCTCCAGAGAGAACTCAGCCTCTCTTTGAAGGCCACACCTCAAAACAATCCTCTCCAGGTGAGTGCTTCCACGCTGCATTGAAACCCTAAATGTCTTATCAGTAGATTTATTATAAACCTCTTATGCAGGCTGTAGGCATGGACTCCAAAGAGGCCATCGCAAAAATCACCCAAAGAACTAATCTTGGTGGGGTGGACTGGGGATGAGGTCACTCCTAAAAAGGGAAAAAATCAGATTTTCAGTTCTGGACCTGGACCTTGACCTCATCCTCAGCCCCAAGCAACTAGGGTATGGAAACACTGGCAGGGTGGGAAGAAAGAAGAACATTCAAAGAATGCAATTTCCCCTAAAAATTAGTATTTTGGGACTGCTCCTGGGAGCACCTTCCTGCTGAAAGAGGCTGCTGCAGGTGCTGATGGATGACCAGGGGCCAGCTTTGCGGTTGGTTTCCTCAGTAGTAGTTAAGGCACTTTCTGCTCAGGATGCTGGGGTGGGTTGACAGGGCTCCGATCCATTCTGGAATTGGTTTATCGGAAGCTGTGCAAGCCATGGTGATGCAGAGCTCTGCCTGGCGTGGGAGGATTTCGAAGCTCCACAAACCCAGGAGTTAAGGCTGAATGGTGATGAACAAATGATATTTCCCCTCAGCTGTTTGGTTCTCCTAAAGTAAATTTTCACTGCTCTTCTGCCATCTAACACATGCTAGGCTTTTTCCTTCAGCTACCTTGGACAGACCAACTGGTTTCCTGTAAGGTAGGGAATGCAGGCTTAAAATCTTGGTTACAAAGGACTCTGAACTCTAAAGAAAAATGTTGTCCCTTTGGAAGGTCCCACAGGGCTTGCATCTTCTCAAAGCAGAAATTTCAGGGATTCTTCTTGCCGTGGTGGTTTTGATCAGTAAGCACAGAAAGGAAACAGAGATTAAATACCGTGGGTTTGAATGGATGGGACACAGAAGCCAGTAGCACAGTGGGAAGATACCAGCTAAGGAAAACAGTGTTGGTTGTCAGTTTGGACAGAGGTGCCGGCCTAAGGAAACGTGATCCACTGCAGACTTGCCTGAGCCAGAGTTGATGACACATGGCAAGACATGAGGTGCAATGGTAGGATGTCTGTGGCCTAGCTCAAGGCCACCCTGCAAAGAAGTCCTTGAGACAGGGGTCAATTCTACCATCGTGGCACTAGTAGGAGAATTTTCCCATACTCCTATAGGTGTGAAGGAGCAGAGCTTCACCATCCAACTTTACCTTCTCTCTTGCACAGAGATAACCTCATGGGCAAGGGTGCACCTAAAAGAGCTTCAAGGATTCCTCTTAGATGCTTGGAAACAGTCTCAGCATAAAGGAAGATGAGGAAGCCACCCAGTAATTCCATCCCCTGGCTAGAGGAAAAAGAAAAGCCCATCTAATAGCAGAATTCTTCCTTTGCAAACCCCACTGGCAAATCCTGCCAATGGACATCAGCTTCAAGACAAGCAGCACAGAGGGGGCTCCTCCATCCATGGCGAATGTAGTCAAGGTCAGAGAGACTCCAGGTCATCAGCCTCCTAGAGATAAGAACAGTCAGGTTGTCTATTCCCGATTTCCAGGATCATCTGTGGAAAGAACAAGACTTGGGGCAGTCCCAAAACATGTCCATTGTGCTAGAAGTGTTACTTGAATCTACTTGCTGAAATGATGGCAGATTCTCTCATGGGCACATAAGATGGGCACAGTATATGAAAGCAGAGTAGCTAAGCTGACAGCAGGTAGATAATTTGGAACAGCCCTGAATGAAGAGTGGGAGCTAGTCCATCCTTCCTTCACCGAAGTGTCCATTCCTGATGATCATTGGTATGTTTCCTTTGAGAAAAGGCAATCTGCATTTTGCTGGATGCAAATAGGGTCTGGTGGGGGCTGTCCAGCTCCCTGGATATCAGCTGAAATTAGATTGTTCCAAGCAATATATTTTCTACCAGTGTCTGCTGGCACGGGGGGAAATGGAGAAGCCTCAATAAGCTGTCTAGACTCCAAGCCCTTTCACTTGGCTAAGCAAGGATCTGCTGGCTGACTGCAATCTCTACAACGGCTTCTATGTAGGGGTCTCCTCGCCTTTCGCTTATTCCAGCTGGCTGACTCAGCCAGCCTGTGAGGAAAGGATGATGTCAAATACATGAGAGGAGGTTGGAAGGTGGTGCAGTTCTGGAGACGAGCCTTCTCTTGTTGGAGATATTTTAAAATCTCCAAGTTTTGGCCCCAGAGAAGGAAAGAGGTTGGGCGGGTGGGGGGAGGCAAATCGCTCACAACTAGCCCCAAACTGTCAAAAAAAGTCTGTAAACGGGAAGAAAGGAGAGCTGAGCCCCCACCCTGTACAGCTGGCCAGAGGAAGAGAGTCTTGTGAGGGACTGTTTGGAAGTGTGGCAGAGCCCCTGTGCAGAAGTCTGAGCTGCCCACGGTATATACTGGCAGATAGGTGCAGCCTGATCCTATGGTGCTGGGGGAAAAGGTCAGGATCTAGGGAAAACAAGAACTTGCCTGGCTCTTATTCTTCGGTGCTTTGTATCTTTCATTGCACTATACAAGCACTCTCAGGATTTCTTTTTTAAAGAGAAGAAATCCTACCAGTCTGCACATTTAAATTCAATCCCTAGTAAAATAATGACATAACCAAAGAGAATACTGATCTGCACACACTCTAAAGAGAAGAGCACTCAGAACAATAAATAGCAGATTTATAAAGAATGCATCATGCAAGATCAACTGGAATGTATTTCAGAATGAGACCTCAGTTCTGCAACTGGATCTCTGTGGGTGAACCCTGAGACTCTGGGCAGGCCTGGGGAGTCAAGAGCAGGATCAAGGTGTAGTGGGTAAAGGGAATGCAGCTGAGGTGTAAACACAGCATATGAGCTCTAGTGAAGAACTAGATTCAGCAGCTCATGTAATCTAGAAATTTAGATCTAGAGTAATTGCAAACCATATTACTGCAATGCGGGGTTGAGAGGGTAAATGCACAAAGGCCAGGAAATTCTACATTATGGTTTCTAGAACAGCACGGGAATTAACAACTACATACTATCATTAACAGTGACCATCTCTTTTGCTGTTTTCCAGAAGTATCCCTTGGTGATTTACAGTCTGCACATATAAGGACCACTCAAGCCACTGCAGGAATGTAGCCACATACACATGGCAACAACTGTGCATAAGCAACAACCCAGAACAAGTTTTTAGGGAGGGAAAGAAAATGCATCTCTCCAGTTGAAACTGCATGAGGAAATTTATGGGGGCAGAAATTTAATTTTTCCAAGTTGCATTTGGTCATGACATTTGGATTAAAAGGGATAAATCAAATTGATATAGTCAGGTATTTTTAAAATAGTATAGCTAAGAGTCTTCAGCTCCTAAATCCCCCCACCCCCATAAATTTCTGTGGATTTATAATGTAAATTTTAAAATATTTTTCCCTCCAAGATCTTCACAAACAAGAAGAAATTGACTGACTCTGAAGGTAAAACATTGAAATCGATGACACAATGTGTTGCTACAGACACACGGTTTAAAAAAACTGAAAAACCAGAGAAAACGTTCCCCTCTAATCTTTCAAGTTCTAGGCATTCTTAGGTGAGACTTATAACCATAGATAAAAAGATTTAGTAAGGTTGATTTTTAAGTGGTCCCTTTATCACTCCTATTCTTGAGAAAACGATACTGAGATTTGTAATGACCATAAAAGGTAAAGACCTTAGTTTTACATCTGGGGGCTAGTCTACACTTGAAGTGTTACAGCAGCATAGCTGTGCCGCTGTAGCACGTCTGGTGAAGACGCTCTATGCCAAGAGGAGAGAGCTCTCCTGCTGGCATCGTAACCGCTTCCGCGAGAGGCGGTAGCTATGTCAGTGGGAGAAGCTCTCCCGCCGACATAACACTGTCCATATCGGCGCAACTTACGTCGCTCAGGGTGTGGCTTTATTCACACACCTGAGTGACATCAGTTATGCCAACATAAGAGGTAGCGTGTACAAGCCCGAGTCAAAACACAGAACCTCCTAGTACAGTCCAGGGTACTTTGCTACCAGGCACTGGATTTATGAAGGAGGAGAATCAAAAAAACAAGCTGAATAACCAGCATCACCTTCTTGAAAGATCTCCCATCCAAATACTGACCAGGCCAACCCTACTTCGCTTGCAAGGTCTAATGCACAGCTACCATGACATTCACATACCCCAGGCCCCCAAATAGCAACACAGAGCACAACTCCCATGACATTCACCCAGCTATAGAAAGCTGGGGAACCATTATTCATTCCTGGCCATTTGACCTTCAGCAAATCACCGAACCGCTCTATGCCTGAAAATCATTCCCATCAGTAAAATGGGGCTAAAAATTATTTAAAAACTCACCACCTTCAGGAAGCTCTAAAGATTGAAAGCATGAAAGGGTCACTAACCATGAATAGGACCTCCGTCCCCTCTTCCCGGTGTGATCCTCCCAGTGCATTCAACCAAAAAAGCCTCCTAAAAGGAAACAAAGGGAAAAGCAATTATGGCACGGGCATAGAATGAGCTGTAATTGCACATTGCTACTGTCGATTCCAACCGTGCTGTTAGCCAATAGGCTGAAATCTTGGGTCTCTATCTCAAATCCCACCTATCCCATTAGCCAATAGGCCAAAATCTAAGGCCACTATGTGGTAGCTTAACAGTTTTGTTAGCTAGCGATCTAAAGAGCTGAGTCCTCATCCCAAACCCTAAATGCACTACTAGGCAAAACCTCCTGACTTACTTGATCACATCTCAGTTGTAGCCTTATTTACCAGATGTTGGTGACTTCTTGCTATCGCAACAGCAGTTAAGTCTGAGACCACTGTATTTTAAGCCCATTTTCAGAGGTTTTATGTTTTTCTCATAATTCTTCCTTTCTCACGGATTTGTCTCATTCAGACTGGAAATAAGGTGTAAATTTTTAACAGTGAGATTAGTCAATCATTGGAGCAATTTACCAGGGTCATGGTGGATTTTCCATCAATGACAGTTTTTAAACGAAGACTGGATGTTTTGCTACGAGAGCTGCTCTAGGAATTATTTTGGGGAAGTTCTCTGGCCTGTGCTATCCCGGAAGATAGGCTAAATGATCACAATGGTCTCTTCTGGCCTTGGAATCTATGACTCTCAGCCTAGCTACTCAGAAATGGAAGAGAAGCCTTGTAGCTATTTTTGTAGTGAGTGAAGTTATTCTGGCATATGGAATTCAGAAAGCACTTGGAGATCTTAAGGGATGAAAAGTGCTAAATACAATCAATATTATATTGAAAGGGATTCCTAGCTAGGCATTTATATTGCACTTGTCTCCTTCATGTCCATATTTCATTTACATAAACATTTACATTATAGCAGATTGTTCCAATTCTAAATCTGACTCACTCGGTGCAGAGAGAAACCAGAAAGGATTTCAGAAAAAGTACAAAACACATCCCCTGCAATACCGGAGCGCATCACTTGAGTGTGCTGTGACTCTAAAGAGAGATTTAGCTACCAGACCCATTTAACCCTAGAATAAGAACTACATTAAGGGACATAGCAGCCTGAGTCCTATATTCAAAAGTTGCTTGAGTCTAAGTCCCACTAATTTTAAATGAGACCTGGGGACCTCTGCACTTCAAAGACTTCTGAAAATAGGACTTGAGAACCTTTGCAAGTTTTTGCCTTTTTGTACGCTGCTGCATTTGTAACCCTGCTCTAATGACCCAGCTTCTTGGTATGGGAAAGTGCAGGGGCTGATTCAAACTGGATTCTTTATTTCTTTTCTTTTCTGGATTTCGCAATACTTCAAATGAAAGCTCCTTTCAAGTCTCCAGACTCTTTGGGCAAGCCTGTTCGCACTGAAGGTTGCACATATATCCAAGAGTCATGCTCACAGGCACGACAGCAGGAACTGATTTTCAGCATGAGTCAGAGAGAAAAATATCTTAGCCCCAGTCCAGGTTGGTAACAGAAGCTAAGGCACATTCATGCCTTGAGATTCATTAGGGACATAAATGACATGCCCAGACTTTCATCAGGAGCTCTGGTGCTCAGCACGAGACACAAGCCACCCACCACCTAGGGCATCCTGGTTCTTAATGATCCTCTTGGGAGAGTGATATATTTCATGGTTTTTGGAGGGTGGGGGGAAAGCAGGAAGAATGTGTCAGTCTGCAATGGAGGAGCTAGGTTACCAAGCTATTTGACACGAACAGGCCACGGTAAGTACATGGGCACTAGGCTTGCAAAATCCAGAGCGGAAACACCGGGTTCATTCCCGGAGATGTCAACAGGTGCCATCTCTCAAAGAGGCAGATGTTGGATTCTTGACCAGAATCCATCTCTTTAATCTGAAAATCAGTCCTGCTTTCTTTCTTTTAGAGAGATTGTGATGGATTGACAATTTCCTGAAATATCCAGAGCAAATTTAATGTAGTTAAGATTAAGTTTAGTGAATTAAATTAAATCTTACTGAATTAGTGTTTTTGGCAGTCGTATTACAAATGCAAATGTTTATGTACTATTGTGAGATTTTACAGAACTTCTGTAGCAGAAAGACAAGACTGTGTTCATCTTTGGAAGGTATAAGGAAGACTAAAGGTCTTTTTGGAATAATACATGAGAAGTGGACTTCTGCAGGAAATATCTTGTGGTGAGGAGAATACAAATTTTCCCACTCCAAAGCCAACCTTTTGAAGATATGCCCTAGGGAAAAGAGATCCTTTGCATACTTCCTGCTCCTGGAAACTCCTGTTCAAAGACCCCTGAAGTGTACAAAAAGCAACTGAACATGTTATGAGTGTGCTTGTTTGAAGCTGAGTCTCTGATGAACTTGTAACCACAAGGATGCCACTAAGGAAGGTATTAAAAGACTGCACCTGACAGGCCTATGTGAGGGTTGGGATGATCTCTGATAAATCTACTAGTATGCGTGTAGGTTCTTTTATTGTGTTTTAATAGGTTTTCTCTGTAATCCTTTTTACCTTAAGACTGAAGCAGGTTTGCCTAGAAAACGGTGTGTGATTGCTTTTATCTGTAGTACTTATACTGTTACCCATCTCCGAAGAGAAAGCAAGAAGGCATCCTGGGACAATCTGACCGTGCTGGGAATTACACAATAAAGGCAAGAGAACGGTGTAGTCTGGGAATACCCTGGTCAGAAGAGAGATGCAGCTCTCCACCACAGAAAGGCGACAGCCGGGGGAGCTGAAAGCAGAGAGCAGGTGCCCTTGCTGAACTACTGAGGGGGTATCCAGGTGTAGCTGCCCTGCACTGTGACAAAGATCACAGAAAAAGTAGCAGCAGAGAATCTGGAAATAGCTGGAGTGCTCCGATGTCTGTAATTTATAGGTCAGTGGGGGGCGGGGGGGGCGTTAAGACTGAGTATTTTATGGAAACTACTCTGGTCTCACTGGCTGACGATCTTCTGGCAACGGATGAAGATCAAGTGTCCATGCTGATTCTTTTAGATCGGTCAGCGACACACCTAGGAGCCTCGACAAGGAAAGGCCCAGGTGCTCCTGTGGTTCCATTCCCTGGACATAGAGAATAGCATTGTGCAATAGTTTGCATACCCTGATGGACCACTTATGTAGTACACCCACATGGTTCTATTTCATCACCTTTCTGTTCAACACAGGTGGTTCTTAGAGAAGATAGTGAGGCAGTGGACTACAATGTCTTCAGTATACCAATGTCACAGCTCCATGTGGTTATTTCCTTAGGCCCAGATATGGCAGAAGCTCAGATTCCCCAGTGTCAAGCAGAGGCTGGATTTTGGGATGAGAGTTAGCAAGGTTAGGCCAACCCCACATAAAACAGAAGTTACACTGTGGGGAAACAGCTGGAAGAAATGGTGGCAACACCTGCTCCCTCAACTAAGAGGGTGTGCCTTTGACCAAAACACAGTGGGAGCAGGGTCCTGCTGTATCCTTAGCTGTTTCTGGATGTTCAGCTACTAGTTGTGGCCAAGAGCACGGCTTTCCATCTATTCTCGGAATCTTAAATTTCTCATGTGTTACTTCATCATTTAGTAAGGGACAGAAATATTTGTAACATTTAGACAAAACAGTGACACTCAAATACAGATCAGCTACTCACAACAGTATCCTGCAGGCTTCGTTGTTTATTCCACCCATAGAATCGTAATAGGTGATGGTTTTCTTCCTGAAGTCTATAACCTACATAAAGAGAAAGTCTTGTTAATAATACAGTAAACAACGTGACTTCCTCTTTCCCAGGACATATATTCTGCAAATCTAGAGCCGTATTCACTGTAAAGCAAGGATAAGAAAAAAAACTGACAGGAATTTAGACCACCCACAGGGATGTCCCTTGAAATCTCAAGGATTTCTCAGAGGACTTTTCTATCAAATGGTCCTTTTATGGCCCCCATTACCACAGTATCAGTGCACCGTGCAATCTTTAACATATTTATACTCACAACATACCTCTGTGGGGAAGGGCAAGGCTATTATCCACATTTTTACAACTGGGGAAATGAGGCACAGAGAGACTAAGTGACTTGGCCAAGGTCACACAGGATGTCTGTGGTAGAGCAGGAAATTGAACCCAGGTCTCCTGAGTCCAGGGCTAGCACTTTAACTACTGCACCACACTTTTCCTCAATTACTATTCTACTTACTCCTGCTCTTAGATTTCACATGCCTATTGTTATTGTAAGGTAGCAGGAGGTTGCTTAATTCTGCACTCCCTCCAATTGGGCTACATTTTTCTGGTGCTGAAGTGCCAAGAACTGCATGCATTATTCCAAGGGCAGTAGAGAGAGAGGACACATCTGGTTTTGCTGCTCACTATCACCACCGCTGCTTTTCCATGTTTCTCTTATCAACCTCAGGTAGGTTTGGACAGGTGTCTCAGAGGGACCACGGAGGTGTGCAGGTACAGCAGAGGGCTTAATTTGGCCCACAGAACCCTTTATTACTGGTAATCATAAATCAGAGTGAAAAACCTTGACTGGCTGTCAGAGCGTAGGATGAGTTTGTGGGACCAACGGTGAAATCTCTTTATGCAAAAACTGAGCAAATCTGACGTGAATCCCAGGAAGACAAAATGATGTCACCTCATTTTTACAGAGCCACTTTTTAGGTTAGAATCACGCTTTAAAAATTACAGATATTTTGTGGCCCACCATAGAATTCCCGATCTTTAGCCATGAATGTGAATTTCTCAGTGTATATCTGCCCGGTGCACAAACCACAAAACAGATGGGGAGGTTAAACGAATTCATGCTGCATCTGTTCCAGCTATTCATTCTTTTTAATACAACATTAAACAAATGAATACTCACGGCTAGGCACCAATGGACTCCAAGATGAATAGGCACCAAGAGAACATCCACAGAGAAAACATCCACCTTTTTTGTCCACCGTTTCACTGCTTGGTACCCAGCAGTTTTTAATTTGGTAAAAAAGAAGGTATTAAATGCATGAACTGTTGGCAACCCCTTCTCTTTGCTTCGTTCCATCAGCAAATTCATGTAGAAATTAATTATCTGGGAGGGAAAATCATCCATGTGTGTTGATAACTTTGCAATAATTACTTTGCATGCACGTGAAAAAGTGAAGTTTTCTGAGCAAAAGAATATTTTCTAAAAATGGATTTCAGAACTTAATGTTAATGACTTGGATTTTGAAATTTTGTCCCTAAGCTCTACTAAGTAGTAGTTACTTCTTCAGAGTTCCTACAGCGTAGCTACAGGTACCCATTCTGCACTGTGGACTACTAGCCCTTACGTTAAAATTTAGCAAAACACTGCCCATTCAGATTATCCACCATCAGCCCACTCCTTCCTCAGTAGCCTTAGAGAAGAAGGGGGGCCGGGGGGAAGAAAAGGTGACAAGGCTACTTACTAGAGCAGAGCAAAAAAAAAAATTTGAATAGTAAATTGCTGAAAAATGAACTTTTTGGAGCACAGAAACTAGTTTTGAATCTGGGTCAAATTTGGTGGATTGTTTTTTTCAGCCAAAACTGAAGGAAAAAAAAAAATCAGAAATGTTGACTGGAATTGACATTTGACATTTCATTGGATCCAAACCATTTGGGGGGGGGGGGGGGGGTGTTAAACTGAAAAGTCAATTATGCGCTTAGCTCTCGTTACTACCCAGGGCTGTATGAATGCAGTAAGCTAGGGTCTGATTTTAAAGCGTATCAGCTATTCTGCACTACCTCTCCATGTGGACACACTCAGCATGCACTAAAAGTGCCCTCGGACAGTTTAGCTAAGGGCACTCAGTGTGCAGTAAGAGTGTCCGCATGGAGAGTTAGTGTGGAGTAGCTACTGCTTCCCCCAGAATCTTTTCACTTTTAGAAGTAAGGAACCTGCAGTTGTGTTGGTGAAGGAGTTACCTCATCATTAAGCCAGTTCAGGTTGTTCAAAGTCTGAATATCTTTCCGGGTTATCGTTAACCGAAAAGCTTCGCTCAGGATCTCATCCTGGTTTCCACTGCGGAATACGCTCTTGATTTCCTTCTCCATTTCCTACAGAGGACACATATGTGATGGGAACAAAAAGGAGCTTCTGATATTCCAGTCCCACAAACTCAAGCGTTCTAGCTACCTAAACTAGTAAAGAGCTTTCCCTTTCCAATGGGGAAAGGGAAAGGCTTGGTCCTATGACAGCTCCAACAAGCAAAAAGAACCTGGAATGCTGAGCTCAGGAATCCGGCACAAAAAACCATGTGGAGACAAGGCCTAAATTAAGAACACGCCACCAGACATCTCTGAATGATGTGACAATGACACTGCAGAAGCACAATGAGGATTTGGGCGTCTGGTTAGTTAATCCCACTGGCAAAATACAAAACTGGCTTGAAGCAATGGCAGCAGGAACAATACTGGGCAGAGACTGTCCATGTGGAAGCCCCTCTATTCTTTGGCTTCATTGGGATTCTGGATTTTAGGGCCAGAAAGGAGTCTGACCTCCTGTATCACACAGGCCAGAGAACCTCATCCATCAAGACCTGCGTCAAGTCTGTAACTCCTGTATGAGCTATAGCATATCTTTTAGAAAGACACCCTGCCTTGCTTTACTTAATGAATAGCTTTTAGTGTACTATTTTCCCTTCCTCCCCATGGTATTTTGAATCAATTTCAAGATCAACATCTGCCACACAGAGTGCTTCTCCAAGACTTGCTAATTGCCTCAAGTGTTAATAATCTATGCAGATCTACCTCTGTGATTTCAGGGAATTCCTCTTCATTATCAGCTGATTTAGCATTCTCTTTCTCTTCTGGGAGAACTGTGACAGGGATCTCTTTCTCAAGAGGCACTCGAAGATTCAAATCCACTGGATCCTGTATCAAGTGTTCTTGCTCCTGCAATCTCTGAAAGAGAGATCTTTAGGTTAGAATAACAGCCGAGGATTTTTGTGGCACCTTCTGGGCATTAGGTGTCCAATTCCCAACCACTGTCTTGGACAGAGGGACTCATTTTAGAGCAACAGATTCTGGTACAACAGGGGTCGGCAACCTTTCAGAAGTGGTGTGCCAAGTCTTCATTTATTCACTCTAATTTAACGTTTTGCGTGCCAGTAATACATTTTACATTTACAGGGTCCGGCAGACGGAACCCCAGACCGGCAGTGGGGGCCGGCGGACGGAACCCCAGACCGGCAGCAGGCTGAGCAGCTCAGTCCGCTGCCGCTCTGGGGTTCTATCCACCGGCCTCTGCCAGCCAGGGTACCGGCTGCCAGCCCCACTTAGCCCACTGCCGGCCCGGGGTTCTGTCCATCCAGGCCAGCAGTGGGATGAGCAGGGCCGGTGGCCAGGACCCGGGGTCGGCGGACAGAACCCAGGCAGCAGAGTGCCATAGGTTGCCGACCCCGTGGTAGAAAGTCAAAAGGTGCAATGTAGTGGGTGAGTCCGTGCACTGAAGGCCCCTAATCCCAAAACCCTGTCCCATGACAGTCAATAGGAGGAGCGTTTTGGTTCACGCCCTTAAGCCTTTGCCTGTGGAGACCTAGATTCAAATAAGCTCTGTACCTTGGCTAGTGAGGGAGCAATACAGGTCCAATGATGCCAGCTGGCCAGGCAGGCAGAGGCTAGAGAGAGATGCTTATGGGTAGCGTTTGCCCCAGACACCAATGGCCTCAAAAGGGGAAAAGGGGAGATAAAATCCTTCCACCTCCCTACAGTTTATTTTTTGTTTTGTTTCCTCATGACCCCTTCTGATTTCCATTTTCATTTGCAATCCCCTCTATTTAGCACACATTTATTTGTGATCCCCAGTCCGGCAGCATAACCACTGGCTCACGCTACTTCCAACTCTATATGTTTTAAGCCACCAACTATCTGGAGAACCTGGGAGGCAGCTTTAAACCCTAACGCTCCGTGCTAGGTATGCCCAGATGTTTCACCTGGCTCTGCAGCTGCAACGCCAAAGCTTTCTGCTCTTCTATTTGACGCCATCTCTCCCGAGCTCGTGAATCGTAGACGCTGGTTCTGGAACACAAAGATGTTGGTACAAAGAGCGTGTTTGTTGCAAGTGTTAAAGAGGACCACAAAAGGAAAACGGATCGTATTAAACTACTACAGCCACTGGGTTAGCTTCTTGCCTACATTAACAAATTAACTGTGCACAGCTCGGGCACTATGGAACATATTTTGTATTATCTGCAATTCATGTTTACTTGGGTGGCTTAAACAGTTCATATTCTGGCAGCAGCAAAGGGGTTATGGATACCAAGTACCTGAAATACTGAGTATTTTTCACCTTCTGTTACTTACTTTCCACCAGCACAGAACAAACAGTGCAGATTTCAGGCAGGTGGGCAAACAATAAGCATCTGTGAGCCTAGCTAGCTCAGTCAGTAGAGCATCAGACTTTTGGAGGGTAGTGAAGCACTGGAATGGGTTACCTAGGGAGGTGGTGGAATCTCCTTCCTTAAAGGTTTTTAAGGTCAGGCTTGACAAAGCCCTGGCTGGGATGATTTAATTGGGGATTGGTCCTGCTTTGAGCAGGGGGTGGGACTAGATGACCTCCTGAGGTCCCTTCCAACTCTGATATTCTATGATTCTATCTCTCCGAAAGACAGCTGTGTCCTCTCCCACCCCACCTGTCTCACTGCAGCCCAAGAACTTCCAGAGAGGGAGCAGTGGTGGTTTGCTTTTGTTTTTCATGGCAAAAATGGGATGAATCAGGTGTCTCTAGCAGGAAGAGAACCATAGCACAGCCCAGAACCAAGCAAAGCAATGGGAATCAGCGTCACTACAGCACTTAATACATGGCTTACTCCTGCAAAGTGCCGAGTCCTCTGGCCATGATCCAGCAAAGTACTTCAACACATGCTTGATTTTACAGTATGTGAGTGTTCCCATTGAAGTCAGTCCACATGCACAATGTAGCTTGTCACCTAGGGTGACCAGATGTCCCAATTTTGTAGGGACAGTCCCAGTATTTGGGGCTTTTTTCTTACCTAGGCTCCTATTACCCCCCCACCCCGTCTATTTGGTCACCGTATTGTCACCTGCCTCACTGTTATACGTTGGAAACATTCTGTAGGCATCACAGAGGAAGTGAACCTTATGAAGGGAACTGAGGGAGGATAAGTAACTCCTGGGAAAAGTTTGTACAAGGCTTAAGGGGATGACATGGGAGAAAGCACAGAGGTACTTGAGGGAAAAGCAGACTAACAGGTAGAAGAAGCTGGTAGAAAGGTAGCTGTCAATGCTGTGATAGATCTGATAGGCTGGGAGGAGCTAAATTGCAAAGCACCTTAAGGTGAAGGTCAAGAAGCTTGTATGCAACGTGTGAAAGATAGAGCCGGGGGATGGATTCCATGACAGAGGAGATATGATTGAAGCTAGGAAGAGGGCAAGATTCTGAATGGACTGAAGGGAGGCAAGATGGCAATAGTCAAGGACAGAAAGGAGGTGAATGCACAAGACAAGACATCAGATAAGGGCCTGGATGAGAATTTAGCCATCTGGACAGAGATGAGTGCCAGATATACAAAGTTATTTAGATAACTAAAGCTGCAGACAGGTGTTTTTGTAAATCACATTAGGTACCTATCTGCATCTTTAGGTGCCTACACACCATGTAAAACTGGTCTAGATCTTAGATCATTTGTTGACCTTCTGAATAAAAACAAACCAAAGCAAACGGAAAGAATCAAAATGTGAGGAACTTACAATTCTTTGATCCACAGTTCTGCTTGGAAGAAAGGAAGGCTAAAAGAGGGGGAAAAAACAAGACAAATGTGAATATTGCTCTACATGGACAGTAGACAACTGTTTTAATTGCTCACATAACAAATAATTGCAATCTGAGTATGCCCATGACCCTTGGATGAAATGTGAAAAATTTAAGACCATCTTTAGCGTTAAGGTTCAAGTCAATTACATGCATACCAACCCAGTCATGAGAGGAAAGGAAAGTTCAACATAAGAACATGATCAATCAACGTAAGACCATGATTGCTGCGCCACAGAAGTATCAACAGAAACAGGAATACACAAAAGTTCCTACAGCAACCTGAATTATTTCTCAGAGGACAAATATTTTCCCCCTAGTTTATTTTAAAAGTAACTTCAGCCCTTCACCATCAAATGAAAGTTTAATATAGTATTAGCCAAAATTATTGGGTTAGTGGGCCTTTTATTGCAATCTGTAACAGAAATAACAACAGCAATACACTTAAAAGTCAGATCAGCATAGCTATGTCAGTTAGAGACGTGAATTTTTACCAATATAGCTATGTACGTCCTAGTGTAGATAAACCTATACCAACCTCAGAGTGCCTTTGCCAGTTCAAGGAGCTGACAAACTACATCAGCAAAAGCACTTTCACCCCAGTACAGCTGTCACTATACTAGGAAGGTTTTGCCAGTTTAATTATGCCAGCAAAACTTTTAAGAGTAGCCCTGGCCTTGATTTTCCAATGGGGGTTGCTAAGCACTTTGGAAAATCTGACCCTTCAGATTCTGTGCTTAAGATTTTATACATTGCAAAGAAACCATTTCTACATTTAACTTTCTGCCAGGATATCAGCTATGATACAAGCTGGGGGAAGTCAGTTACACGGAAAATATCAAGCCTACAAGGGGGAAAAAAAACAGTGGGAAAGCAAACTAAAAAGGTCACAGGGTGATGCCATTATGAAGACAGACAATGCTATTTAAAGATGTATATGTAGTGAAATTGCTTGCAGAACTAGGCAGGTGAGAGTATTGCTCTGCACATCACTAGAATTGTGCCACCTGGAATGGTCCTCCCAGGCCCATACACATCAATTTAAGAAGTGAAAAGAGAGACTCAGGAAAATTAAAACAGGTGACAAAGATGATACAAGGATCAGTGCATCAGACACTAAGGAGAGAACGGGGGAGATTTAATTCATGTAGATTCAGCTGCAGACTCACAGAGACAATGCCACAGTCTAGAAATGAATTCCAGGAAAGGTTTCCACTGAAGGGAATTATTCACAATCGCAGAAGATAATGACATAAGGAGCAACAGCCTGAGCTAAGCAGAGAAATGTTTAGTCTAGATATTAGGAAGCAGTACTCAACAGAGCAACTGAGCAAACTCCAAAGGGAGGTGCTCAAGGCACTGTCACTGAAGACTCAGGGACATGCTAGATGTCCGTGGAAGCAGTGGAGGGAGGTACCCTGCAACATGCGGGTGATCGGACTAGATGACTAACCTAGTCTTATGGAAAAAATAATCCAAGTGCAGAATCTGCGCAAGTTGGCAGTGATAGAGCAAAGAAACAGCCAATTAGCCAGAGGCAGGAAGATATTTTGAGAGTAATTAACACCCTTTTTTATATGTGCCATTTTACAAACTTACCTTGGAGTCGGAGTTCTGGAATCTTTTACCTTGAGCACAATGACTGAGTCGGATCCTACCCAAAGCAAAAGAAATAATATTAATCAAACTCTTGCTAGTTTTTAATATACTCTCTATGCAAATTTCTGTTCCTTATGCCCCATTCTCATTCTTAAAACAGGTTTTCAGTTTGGATTCAAAATTCTAATCTTCATTTTAAACTTCAGACAGGGATGTTCAAAGGAAACTAAGGGAAGTAGATGCCTGATTTGGGTGCCTAATTCCCTTAGGTTCCTCTGAAAGCTCAGCTTTAAAGGTACATTAGGTTTTAGATTACAGAAACAAAAGATTATAAAATCATTGATGTTGTCCTAGAAGATATTAGTGTTGAAAACTAACTTTGTCTCAAACCATAAAAATAATCTAAAATAATACATAATTGTAACAGGCAGAGGAAGTATGAATGGCTTGAAAGAAGGGAGAAAATAGAACAGAGGAGACTAGAACTACAATGGGAAATAAGATAAGCAGTGGGAAGGGAAAGAAAGGAGTAAGCTGTATGTTTGCTGTATTGTATTGCCGTATTTGATGCAAGAGCTGCTGCTGTGTATTTAAGCTGACTGGATGCACAGAGTATTTGGAACAAACCTGGAAGGGTTTTGTTATTTAGCAGGTTCTCTAGAAGACACATTTGTATTGAAACCACCACATTTGGGACCTGTGGTTTTGATACACGCCAAAGACAATGCAGTTTTGTAACCCCCTATCTATTCTTAATTTCTCAGGCTTTAAAATGTAACGAATAGGTCAGGGAATAGGATGGTGACAGAATCCCTCAATTTACCTCTCTTTCCCTGCACTTCCCGACTTATAGCCCATTTCTCAGGAGAAAATATGCATTGTGCATTATTGTTTGCAACATGTTTCAAGTCCCATGGATTAGGAGTGCCACAGAAAGACAAATATATGATTAGGCGTGTAGGCAGTGCCAGCTAAAACTGGCTGTCAAACACTTTCCATTATATGCTCATTTTTGAATAGCTATAGCTGTCTGAAACATACATCTTTTGGGAATTTTCCCTGCTTGGTCTATGCTTCCAGGTGATGTGTGGGGAATAAGCAAATTGCCTGCAGCCATTTCTAAGCTGGGAGATGGTGAATAAGGAACATTTCCCCCCGATGTATAAAAAAAAATTACTGTGATTTCCTCCTCCTCTCCCTTCCACGAGGGGCAGGAGGTGAAAATGCAAGACGGCTGAATGTAACACTTCCAAGAGCCCCTAAGTGACTTAGGAGCCTAAATCCCACTGATTTTCAATGGGACTTGGGCACTTTTGAAAATTTTATCCTGAACCTTAGACAGCTTTAAAAATTTCAGTCCAAAGGTAGATGGATGCTTTTTTGGATTTGAAATTGAAAGGGGTCTGGAGAGATTTTTCAAAGACACAAATGGCAGGTTGGTGCCTAACTCTCATTTGTGCTTTTGAAAATCGTCTCTCCTTGGCTACCCAGCTCCCTAGGAGACTTTGAAAATGTCACTCAAACTTGAAATCTGGCCAAGGCATGGCCCTACAAAAGTAGCAAGCACTTGGCTAATTTTTTCCAAAAAGAACTGATTTTCAAATAATCCAACTGCAGACATTTGGAAACATGCACTGCTGCACATATTCAGAAGAAAATTATTTTCCATACTGGCAAGCACATTGCCCCAAAATGCCTAGGGATTTGCTCCAATTTAAAAAAAAATAACTATATGAGGAGAGATTAATAAGACTGGGACTTTTCACCTTGCAAAAGAGATGACTAAAGTTGGATATGATAGAGGTCTATAAAATCACGACTGGTGTGGAGAAAGTAACTAAGGAAGTGTTATTTACTCCTTCTTAGAACACAAGAACTAAGGGGTCACCAAATGAAATTAAGAGGCAGCAGGTTTAAAACAAAAAGGAAATATTTCTTCAAACAACGCACAGCCAACCTGTGGAACTCTTTGCCAGAAGATGCTGTGAAGGCCAAGACCATAACAGGGTTCAAAAAAGAACGAGATAAATTAATGGAGGATAGGTCCAATCAATGGCTATTAGCCAGGATGGGCAAGGATGGCGTCCCTAGCCTCTGTTTGCCAGAAGCTGGGAATGGGTGACAGGGGATGGATAATTTGATGATTACCTGTTCTGTTCAGTCCCTCTGGGACACCTGGTATTGGCCACTGTCGGAAGACATGATACTGGGCTAGATGGGCCTTTGGTCTGATGGCCGTTCTTATAATCTCCTTCAGGCAAAAGCCATGGGTAAACATTTTTAAAGCACTTATGTGACTTAGGAGCCTAAGTCCCATTGATTCTCAATGGCTCCTAAATCAGATTTGGATATTTTACTCAAGCCTGGAAATATCAGTGCAAAGGTGAACCTTTCCAGAAGTTACAGAAATGGGGAATTATAACAGAAGCTATTTGTGACCTTCACTATAGCAATCGCTACCAAGGACCACAAAGATATGCTTATGTTGACATCTACCTTTTAGGCATTTTGAACAAGGAAGCGATTTAACTGGTCTTCACACATTTGCCGCTCCTACAATTCAGCAAAGCAACTACAAGGACAGAACAGGACCTACCCCTCCTCTCCCACTAGGGAAATAAATTAGATCCAAGTCTGTGACCCGCAAGCAAAACTTGGGATGAAAGCGAGCAGTGAGCTCTGGTTTAAAATGTTATTCAAACCATTATTTGTTACATGTATTGCAGTAGCGCCTAAGAGTCCCAGTCATGGGCCAGAGCCCCATTGTGCCTGGCGCTGCGGAGTGGGGAAACAGAACAAAAAGGCGATCTCTGACCTATACATTTAGTTGATCTCAGTGTATTTTTACCTTCAGACTGGGCGTTGGATGCTGGTAGATTATCTTGCTGATGCTGAGTGCTGGTATTATCGGACTCAAAAGTTACATTTGATGGATAACTGGATACAGGGTACGGTGGTGGCTTGTGTGATGGCTGCTCCTGTGTTCCCAGAACACTAGCTGACTGGCAACCTGGAGCGAGGCTGTACATTTCAAATGGTTTTGCATTCTTGCATGGGGTTTCTTTCACTACGTTTTTACTGGAACTCAAACATCTGGACCTACACACAAACAGAAAATTAAAGCTCCCAAAGAAGAAGAATTGCACCATGGTACTGACCCTCAGTTGGGGAGGGTATTTCATATACTCACAGGTGGAGGAAAGGCGAGGCTGGCTTGGATGTTGAGAACTGTTTTCCTGTGACCACCTGAAGCAGCTGCCTGTAGATCTCTCGCTCTTCCTCTCGAACTGTCTGCAGAGAAATAAGCAGACACTTCACCACTGCCCTAAGACTCAAGTCAGGCTTAACAAATACAAACACTATCAATAATAGTAAGTGAGCAGGAGCAGAGACAGACACTGTGGATTACATACACTCTGCTGGAGCAGACACCCGGCACACACACCAGGGGTCTCAGGAACTTACAGAACTTAAGCGCCACAGGATCAGAGAGCTACCAGGGCTAGACTGATTGCAGAGCTTGCAAACTCCACAGGAGTAAGGCTGCAGTCCGAACTTCTGCCTAATGGAAACTGAAAGTACTTCAGATGCAGGCACTACTCCATCTATAAAGGGGAATGTTGACTCTAGTCTTCAAAGTGCACAGGAACCCTTGCTCAACCTCTTCACATCTCACAAGGCTGGAAGGGCCAAATCAGGTCTCCTGAGGTTCTCGTCGTTTTCCCCCTCCTGAGATCTCAAGGGGAAGTTATCACTCCGGTTGCAGCACGATTTTGAAAGGGGTATGGGTTGGAGTTCAGGAAGAAAGCAGCACTTGAACATCCCAGACAGCAGCATACAGTGCTACCCAATGGAAGTTCTTGTATTCAAACTTAAGTCTCCACTGCTTGTTCTTACCTCTTCTGCAGTGCTGACAAATCTCCTCTGGGTTTTCTTGGGGCTCAGCAGGCTGCGACGGCATGAGGGACTTGTAACGGGCTTGATTGGAAACGTTTTTTCATAGGCAGATATGTGGCAATGATGGTTTGACTTCCCTACAAAACTATTTGACATTCCACTGTGGAAAGAGGACAGAATGTTAGTCTACAAAATAAGCATTACAATCACAGACACGTATACATTTTCCCAGAAACCCCCTCAAAGAGCCTGGGAGAAAAAGGAGACCGATGCACGGCTGGAGCAACCCTTTTATTCTCTCCCTAGATTCCTGTATGCAGCAAGAATGCAACAGAAACTCTCCCCCCAGGTAGATCAGGGAGCAAAGAGAGCCTAGGGACACAGCAAGAAACTGGATTCTCCACTCTTCTCTCCAAGGACCTGGGATGGTGTTTAAATGCACAGAGACCGCATTTCACTGCTGCCACCGGCATGTGCACATAGAGGGGGACAGGAGGGGCTGGCCTCCATTTGGGACTGTTGATCTCCGGCCTACCCAGATGATTCTTGTGAACATCAACAGGGATGCAGGAAAACCCTTAGAACTTTTAATGCTTTTTAAAAAAAAAAAATATTTGGCCATCTTCTTTAAAGGGGGATTGATCAGAAACTGGCATTTTGTGAAATTAAAAACAATCTAAAATTAACAGACCCCACACGCACCCCTTTAAGCTGATTTTACACTTAAGTACAGTTTAAAAGTCTGGCCCCCAGATGGCACAATGATCCTGATTAAAACACAATTCTGAAAGTTAAGATGGAAGGTATCTCCATTGCTGCTGGTCAGACAAGAGAATTAACAGCTGCTTCACTGGTCTTGTTCTCACCTAGTCATACTTTTTTCCATCTCTCTCATCTCGGGCTCCAGAGAGTAATTCATGACCTCACTTTGCAATTCAGATATAGTTTCAATAGCTACTCTGTAGGAATTCCCATCTGTTCACAGTACTAAGTTTTTGTACTGGTATAGCTTTGTTAGAGATGTGCTTTTTTAAACCAATATAATTATACCAGTACAGCCCCTAGCATGGAATACGTATACCAGTATAAAGCTGCCTTATATGGGAATAAGGTACACTGGCAGAAGGCAGGTTTATATTGGCAAAAATACCTCCATTCTAAAGGGGGTTGTACTGTTTTAACTAGACTGATATAGTGAAAGTGTCACAACTTGTGTGTTCAGATAAGGTCTAAAAGGAAATTTTTAAATGCACTCAAAGTTGGGTTAAACCTGTTCCCTTCTGAGTCTCTCGTACTACTCCCCCATCCCCGACACCCTGCTCCCGCCTTTCCCCCCCATTGGCTGCCAAGTGACGATGGAATGGCAAAGAATGACCATAACGCAGTCATGGAGAATGTTTCTCCAACTATTATTTGATTGGGACCTTAAGGATCTGTGTGAAGGGCCCCTCCCCCCCAAAAAGGCTATGCTATGCAAACTTTCTAAAGATGACAAATTATACCGCTGTGGTGAAAAGATTTTCAGATATATCTACCATGTATGCAGACAGCAGCTAGAGCCCAGGAGGACCTTGGCCTCTATGAGGACGCAAAAGCAGAGTCACATTAGACACCAAATCACCACTCATTCAATGCTATATTGAACTTTGTTAAGATATTGAAAGATTTGGGATTGCTTATCAAAGGCTTTTAAAAGATGCTGCTTGGGTGTCAGAGGGGGCAGTAAAAACTCCACAACACACAACTTAAATGAATGGTTTCTAATGAGGATCCTGTGGAAGTATGTTAAAGATGGAGCAGAACCATACACACCTTGGAGTTTTGCGAGTGTCGAGATACAAGTTTCGACTCACTCTAGGTTTCTGTAACATAGAACCCAGGGTGGGTACCAAACCCCTCCACTGTCCGTTGGCACTTGGTCCCAACATTCTCAATTCTCCCGACACCCGGTAACTCTCAGAGGATGGAACTTCTGCCGGGAGAGAAATATTGAACAGTAAATAAAGAGCCCACATACTCAGCTCCAATTATTCAGCATTAAATATTAAAGGACCTCAGGTATCACTTGACTTCAGTGACTGTCTGCATGTGTAAGAATTCAACCATATGGAACAGCTTGCAGGATCAGAGCCTGAAGGATGCTTTTAGAAATACTAATACTTTTAGAAACACTCCCCATGCCCCCCTCAAAAAAACCAAAACAAACAAAAACAAACAAAACTTGCACAACTCAAATGGCTGTAAAGATTTTATTCTAACTTTCCAAAAACATAACTCAGTCCTGGGGTGAGAAAATGGGATATTCAGAGGAACCTGGCCCTAACTCCCTTTGCAAATCCCAGCCTAAGACAATATTTGAGAAAATATTATGAGTGACAGAGCAGGAGGTGCCAGCTCAGCCTGAGCTAAAGTGTTTTAATGCAAGGCTATAATTTCTGAGCACTTAGAAAGACACTTCCTGTGTAACTGAACTGACTCCAAATAAGCATGTTTTACCTGAGTAGTAACTTGGATTGCATGATGCACTTCCCGCAGAGCATGTAAAAGATCTCTCCAAACTGCCAAACTTATTTGGTAAAAACTACACAAAAAGAAAATCAAAATTATTAACTGTTAAGGTTACTATTTAAAGAAAAATGACACCGGGGCATGAAAAATAAAGCTACACTACTCTAATATCTTCTGCAACTTACTAATCTATGACAGTGTGATCATAGGATGAGTTGTAATATAATGTCAACACTTTTCTGACAACTTGGCAAATTTTTGAGATGGCTCTATCCACAGGCAGCCTTGCAAAATTCTACCCTTCTGGGGTGAACTTTTTTTATTATTTTTTTTTTGAGATGTCAGTAAAATATTAAGTTTATCATCACCACAGTATGGGGCAGGCAACCAGATTTTGTATCTAAGCTGGTAAATTTTCATAACTATCTTGCAAGTGCACGGTTGTCTCAAAAATAAGAGTATGCAATTTTGTGTAGCTTCCATAAGATATACGTGAGAGTGTGTACACACATACAAGGGTATAGCTTTCACAAAATATATATTTGTGTGCATCCATATGTGTGTAGCTTCCACAGACTATGCGTGTAGCTTTCACATGATATATTAATATTAGCGTGTGTGTACACATGCAAGAATAGCTTTCTACATTGATCAGTAAACACAGACTGTACACTCTTTGGTGCAAGAGATTTTTTTTTTTGTTATATTTTCAGAGAGTGCTTAGCAAAACACAGCTCAGGCTTCAGATGCTACTGTACTACAAATACTAAAAAGGTTGCAATTTCAAATGTGCAAGATTTTAGAATTCAAAGACTATTCTGCATCACTGTATTATCATTTATACATTGTGGCAGCACCACAGGACCCCAGTCACGGATCAGGACCCACTGTGCTAAGTGTTGCACAAACACAACAAAAAGACCGCCCCTGCCACAAGTAGCTTACAATCTGAGTGTGAGACAAGAGACCACAAGTGGATAGATGTATAGACAGGGAAAGCACAAGGACATAATGAGACAAAACCAGTCAACATGAACAGCAGCTGTCACAGCATATCAGTTGCCTAATTACTGTGAAATGTCTTGTACACATCACAGCAGAAAAGAGTTTTAAGGAGGGATTTCATTTTGAAACTAGCTCTTCAGAACATTAAAAATAAATCGGACCAACAGAAACATTAAGTCAAAACGATGCATTTCAGCAACCTGAATTGACAGATGTGAAGTTGTAAATGAGTAAAGAGTAAATGATCCCAAACCTTGTCATCAGACAGTGAAAGCTGATCCCCTGGAATAGCAGTCTGTTGTAGAGGAAAGGCCTTGAATATCAAGTTGTGATTAGCCAACGTTGCGTCACCAGCTTCCATCCTCATAGGATCAGCAATCTCATCTGAGAAAACACAGCTCTGTATTCAATTCTCACAAAGGGCTCTCCAATGAAGCAGGCATTTTCCATGCAATCTCACTTTAAAAAAGTTTCTGTCCAGCTAATGCCAGTGAATGATTTAGTAAAAGCACCTGAATATATTGCAAAAACCAAGGAGAAACAGTAACCCCAAAACAAAGGCATAGTACTTTTTTACCTCTACCTAGAAAACATCCCCACACATCATGGAAACACCTGAATATGTTTTGTAATCTTTTTTGCTTCTAATCCTCAGAGATCATTAATACCTCCTTCATAAATGATACAAAGACTCTAAAGAAGCCAACAGAAGTTTTATAATGATGATAAAATAATAAAAAAAACACCCAGCTCTTATGCAATTTTCACCAGTAGATGATAAAATTGTTAGATAGGTAAGAACCATCTACATGCTAGAATATGAGAAGCAGCCTGATCTAGTCGGTAGGGCACTGAACTGGGAATCGGGACAATGGGGTTCTATTCCTGGCTCTGCCCCTGCCCTGCTGTGTGACCTTGCCCAAATCTGTGCCTCTATATTGCCTCCTGCCCTTTGATTGTAAGAGACGATTCCCTGCCCTAAAGAGTTTACAATCTCAATAGAAAGGACCCCATTGTCCGGTGTCAAGGACAATGGGGTCCTAACCTCTGTTAGAGCCTCTAGGCACTACTGAAATACTAATATTAATTAAAGGGTGTAAATGCCAAGAAGGGAGAGGAATTATTTAGGGTGATACATGGGGCTATAACTAGGGGAAATTACGGGACAGAAAATTTAGGTTATCTGGAAACCTTCTTAGCAGCAAGCAGTCTCACACATGAAGCAATGAAAGCCTCACTGATTAAGACATTTAGTCCTGATCTTGCACTATCCCACGTGCTTTAATATCCTTATTTTACATTTATGGGCATGATTCTCCTCATTTATATCCTCTTATACCACCGATTTTAGTACACTTACTCCCAATTTATACTAGTGTAACTGATAGCAGAATCTGGCCCTTTTTTCCCTCTCAAGTTTGCTACAGCACAGAACTGATATTGATCCTTCGATACAATTTAAACAACATGAGGAATAAACAAACATGGGACTGAAAGTGCTCTATCATTCATAACAAGCCTGCTCCTAGTTCATACCAAAAGCTAGAGGCAGCAGAAGTGCCTGGAAATGAGACACAGCTTATTGTGCTTCCTCAGTGAAAATGCAAGAACATTTCAGCTGCAAGTTTCTTTTACATGATGTTACACAGACATAAGGCCCAGGCAAAACACACAGAATTCCAGAGGTTGGGTGTGTCAAGGCAGCACTCAGATTCCCTGTTGAGTTTGGTCCTGTACACACCTAGAGACAGCATACCCTCTCATTTGGCAGAAATGCACACGCACTTACCCATTTCCAGACTGCTCACATCACTGATGCTGACGACAAACTCAAGGGAACTGAAAAGGAAGGGAAAGAATACGGTTCACACAACACAAAAGACCTCAAATAGCCAAATCAAGTATGAACCTGATGTCCAAGCAGACACTAGCTTTCCCTGAATGAAAAGAACACAGGGACAGCAGGAGAGATGGAACTTGCTACCCAAAGGTTTTAGAGCTTCCATCTCAGTCTGTTACGCTGTGCACCCATTTTTCTTCACTAAATGTTGGCAGCTGCCATCTTTTCTACATGCCAGGGACTGCCCCCGCCTCATTCCTGGGACAGTCCTATTTCTCATCTGGTCTACCAGATACCTGGTTGACTGGTGAGTTACCTACCACTATATAAACTCCTATAGAATGCTTCTGAAATGCAACAAATTGCACTCACATCACCAACGACATAGGCCAGCAGGCTCTCTAGACCACAGGTATGCACTCTCCCCTCTGACAGGGGCTCCTGGTAATAGCTCACCTTAAGTGATCACTCTCCTTACAGTTTTCAGAGTAGCAACCGTGTTAGTCTGTATTCGCAAAAAGAAAAGGAGTACTTGTAGCACCTTAGAGACTAACAAATTTATTTGAGCATAAGCTTTTGTGAGCTACAGCTCACTTCTCCTTACAGTGTGTATGGTAACACCCATTGTTTCATGTTCACTATATATATAAATCTCCCCACTGTATTTTCCACTGCATGCATCCGATGAAGTGAGCCGTAGCTCACGAAAGCTTATGCTCAAATAAATTTGTTAGTCTCTAAGGTGCCACAAGTCCTCCTTTTCTTTCTGCTCTCCAGTTCAGTATGGAATAAGACTGGCTACAGAACCAGTGCTGGAGGATTTGATCTCCCATCTATTTGCTTTGAACAAGAACAGCTTTGCAAACGACCTAGCAGTTTCACTGCTAGAGGGAAAGTCTGTTTGCATAGTAAGATGTAGACACATGCAGCAAGGGAGCATACAGGTGCACACTAGTCTTCAGGCAGAGAGAAGGCTGCTGCCATGTCACCTTGCAATCCCATCAGCACATAAGAGTTAAGCAAGAATGGACAGGTCTAGTACTTGAAAGGGAGACCTGCAGTTAGGGGTTACAGGTGGTGATACAGGAGAGATGTTAGCAAGCCGGAGAGGGAGACACAAGGGGTATGTGCATTTAGGGTTCAATGGGGAAAGAGAAGGAGAGAGACAGGCATCTGACGGGGCAGGAAGGGAGCACACAACCACCGTGGCAGGGGCCTGAAGGGAAGACGCAGGAATCCGACAGGCGGATGTTAGCAGGTGGTGGAAGTGGTGGGACACAAGGAATTACTGGGGGTAAAGGAATTGCCGGGGGGGGGGGGAGAGGGAGCACCATGGGATCATGAGGTCTCAGGAGGATGTTAGCAAGAAAGGGAAGTAGCAGTGGAGAGGGACGTTAGCGACAAGGGGACACACTGGGGGAAGGGGGACCCCAAGGGCTCAGACAGTCTGACAGGGGAGTTTGCAGGTGGGGGGGGATAAGACTGGGAGGCACTCAGGGGGCAGAGTTACCGGGGGGCGAGGGAGCACAGCACCAGCAGGGGTGGGGACCTATGGGGGAGACACCACCAAGGCCTGAGGGGAAGGGGCCAGCCGGGAAGGTGGGGGGGAGAGGACTGGGGGGGGGGGAGACACACCAAGGATCATGGTGTCTGACGGGGGTGGAAGCAGAGGGAATGGGGTGGGTGGGGGGACATGATGGGAGGCACTCGGGGGTAGCGAGAGCTCCTGGGGGGGCCTGGCGGGGGGGACCCCACCGGCCGGCGGGGGGGCTGAGGGGCCGGGCTCTGAAAGGCGGCGGGGGGGGGCTTACCGGAAGCGGAACCAGCCGGAGCGCGCGGGCCCCTCACCCCCAAACCCCGGCAACGAGGCGGCCGGAAACGGCGGGAGCCCGGCGGGCGGTAGCGGAAGTGACGCTTCGGAGAGCGCCTCGGCGCGCGGCAGGTCGGGAAGCGCGCTGTCGCCGTCCCCTCAGGGGGCGGGGCCAGAGTGGGACTAGCCGCTCCGGGGGGGCAGGGGATGGGAGAGGAGCGTAGGTTGGTCGGTGTGTGACCCCCTCCCGCCCCGGGGAGCAGAGGGGGGGGGCAGTGTGCTCGGGGGGGGGGGATGGGAGAGGAGCGTAGGTTGGTCGGTGTGTGCCCCCCCGGGGAGCAGAGGAGGGGGGGGGCAGTGTGCTCGGGGGGGGGGATGGGAGAGGAGCGTAGGTTGGTCGGTGTGTGCCCCCCAGGGGAGCAGAGGAGGGGGGGGCAGTGTGCTCGGGGGGGGATGGGAGAGGAGCGTAGGTTGGTCGGTGTGTGCCCCCCCGGGGAGCAGAGGAGGGGCGGGGCAGTGTGCTGGGGGGGATGGGAGAGGAGCGTAGGTTGGTCGGTGTGTGCCCCCCCGGGGAGCAGAGGAGGGGCGGGGCAGTGTGCTGGGGGGGGGGGAGGAGCGTAGGTTGGTCGGTGTGTGCCCCCAGGGGAGCAGAGGAGGAGGGGCAGTGTGCTCGGGGGTGGGGATGGGAGAGGAGCGTAGGTTGGTTGGTGTGTGACCCCCTCCCGTCCCGGGGAGCAGAGGAGGGGCGGGGCAGTGTGCTGGGGGGGGGTGGGAGAGGAGCGTAGGTTGGTCGGTGTGTGCCCCCCAGGGGAGCAGAGGAGGGGGGGGCAGTGTGCTGGGGGGGGATGGGAGAGGAGCGTAGGTTGGTCGGTGTGTGCCCCCCAGGGGAGCAGAGGAGGAGGGGCAGTGTGCTCGGGGGGGGGGATGGGAGAGGAGCGTAGGTTGGTTGGTGTGTGACCCCCTCCCGTCCCGGGGAGCAGAGGAGGGGCGGGGCAGTGTGCTGGGGGGGTGGGAGAGGAGCGTAGGTTGGTCGGTGTGTGCCCCCCAGGGGAGCAGAGGAGGGGCGGGGCAGTGTGCTGGGGGGGGTGGGAGAGGAGCGTAGGTTGGTCGGTGTGTGCCCCCCAGGGGAGCAGAGGAGGGGCGGGGCAGTGTGCTGGGGGGGGTGGGAGAGGAGCGTAGGTTGGTCGGTGTGTGCCTCCCTCCGCCCCGGGGATCAGAGGAGGGGCGGTGTGCTGGGGGAGGGGCTCCGAGTAGGTTGGTTGCCGGGGGAGGGGAGCGGGGTCACTCACGGGGGGGGGGAGCAGCAGCAGCAGCCCCACGGCGGAGAGCAAGCTGGGGGCACCTGGGGGGCAGAGGCAGCTACGTTAAGAAGTTGGGGGGGAGGGAACCTCCAAACTCGCTTTAAAAATCACTCCCCCCCCACGCGCCCCCGAGAGAGGGTGGCACGAAAGACCAAACTGCGAACGGAAGGGAGCGAGCCGCGGGCGGCCGTGTTCGGTGCCCGGTGCGGTGCAGCCCAGCCCGGGCGAGGGAGACCATGAGCACCGACATACGCAGAAAAAACAACCGGAGTCCTTGTGGCACCTTAGAGACTAGGATATGTATTTGAGCATCCACTTTCCTGAGCTACAGCTCACTGCATCGGATGCCTGCAGTGGAAAATACACCGGGCATCACATTATGCTGTCGAGCGAGCTCGCTGTCACAGGCAAGATTGAGCAGTTCTACCAGCAAAAAGGAAAGGCGGACTTGTGGCACCTTAGAGACTAACACATTTATTTGAGCATCAGCTTTCTGGATCTGATGAAGTGAGCTGTAGCTTGCGAAAGCTTATGCTCTAATAAATTGGTTAGTCTCTAAGGTGCCACAAGTCCTCCTGTTCTTTTTGCGGATACAGACTAACAGGGCTGCTACTCTGAAACCAGTTCTACCAGGATAGCCCCCATGTGGATACTTTTCGTTTGGTATAAGCATGGTTTTTGTTTTTTTTTTCTTCTCCATTTATCTTCAGCCCCTTCCCCAGTGACATAAACTAAACCAAAAGTACTCCTTTTCTTTAAACCAAAAGGAGGCACTCATCCTAGAAGAAGTGTCCACACAGGAGGTGAGACCAGAATGACTTGTGTTGGTGTAAGTCTTATCTTATACCAGTATACATTTGAGTGTAGAGAAGCCTTTAGCTGGGTGTGTACTTTGGAAGAGGGACTTTATCTTCTTGTCTTCATATTTGTCTGCAAAGGACTTATCATTTGGATGCTATACAAGTCACACAGCTGGTTGAGATTTTTCAGCTTTGTTCAAAATCAAAATGTGTTGGAAAAACAGTTCAGTTTTGACATATTTAACCCCCCCCCCCCCCAAAAAAAAAGAATAAAAAATAGTTTTGTTTGGTTGAAAAATCTAAATTTTTCATCACAAATTTATTTTTCAACATGCTTTAATAAATTATCCTGCTCTCTCCAGTTGGGAGTGGGCCAGCCCTGCTGCTTTTCAGAAACCCACTTCTACTGAAACTTCCTTAAAATATATTTCAGCTGGAGGGGTTGGTGAAAATGAGGGAAACTTGCAGAGCACCTGGCCCCTTCTATGAAGCTTGCTGAGGCAGCATGGCCTGGTACATATAGGATGCCACATTGGGACTTGGTTTGCCCAGCAAACTTTTAAATCAAATCAAACTGAAAAAATTCAGTCAGCTGCAGAAAACTGTGTGTTTACCTTTATCGCAGTGATAAGGGTACTTGCCTGATATATGGAAAAGCCAGGGCTGAATCCCTACTCTTGCAGTGGGACTTGAACTCAAATCTTCCCCTATGTAGGTGAGCAGCCCAACCACCAGGCTGTAGCCTAGTCATCTTCTCAAGCTCTCTTGTTGAAGGTCTTCCACTTTCTATAAAAATATAATTTGTCATTGGGCCAGAGAGAACAAACAACTGTTCAGCTTAGTGATTAAGGCACTCACCTGGGAGGTAGGAGATGTGGATTCAAATCTTCTGCCTGCCTGATTCAGAAGAGGGATTTGCTGTTTGTTCAAATCATGATGGTGCTTTCTGCAGTGAGAATCCAAGAGACCATTCTGTTTGTAACTTTGTTTGCTGAGCAGTTGAAATGAACCATTTATAATTGAAATAAAGTAAATTTTATAGGCCTGGTGTTGTTAGTTTTCTGCACTTGGGGCAGGAACGGTGTGT